GCATAATTTAATCAAATAACAATTTAAATGCTCACATCAAGAAAAAGAACTAGGAAATCTTAAAAAAAGATAAACTAACATCATTAAAAATTAAACATAAGTTCCATAACTAGTAAGAACTAGAAACTCTCTAATTGTGACTTGTTACACAAATGAAGAACCTTTCACCCTTCGGATCATCTGCAATCCATGTAAATCCCACTTACTCAACCATCCTTTAATCTAAAAAATTTGTCAACATAGACGGTGTGAGCTTCAAACTCAGTAGGACTAATATCACATGTTGCACCCTTTTGGTTATAAACATATATACATTTATACATAGTGACAGGAAATAATTTAAGATTTCAGGTAGATAAATACTGACAAATTCACGATTTCAAAGAATCCATTGGGATCGTAAAAACCAGTTATGGCCATATATAAACTTCTTGTTCATAGCTTCAAAAACTCTTTATTTGTTCATATCTTCAAAAATTCTAATACACATCACAAGCATAGATATACATACATAATGAACAAAAGGTCAATACTTAGCACCACCTACCTTGATTTTCCTAAAATATAAAGGAGCAAAATGTGAAAAAACATTTCTCCTTCACACCCTTGCTATTTTTTAAACTTAACTTAATATAAAAGATATTTTTGAGAGAAAATAAAAGCAAATTCAGATTTGAGGAGAGGTATAGTAAAAAAGTGACTTTCAGTTTCTTGTAACCTTCATTTTTAGTGAAAAACAAAATGAAAGAGCTATATTATCATTAACCTTGTTAAACTGAGTCTTTAGCTACAAATTTAAAGAGTTTTAAGCCCACAAAAATAATTCTTATTAAATTTTTTATAAAATATTTATATCATGAAAAATAAAGGAAAGTGAATTATTCATAGGATTTGTAACATATCTCTACAAATGTCAACTAATAAAACAATTATTTCATCCAATTAACTTAATTAATTGTTCTTAATGTGCAAAATATGGAGTTTTTAACTCAAAAATAATTTTATAAAAATATTTTATAAAAACATCAACATGGTTATTCGAACCTGGGTTGCCTCTGTAGAATACCACGTCGTTGATAATTGTGGCAACACAGTTATTCATTAAATTATTGTAATTAAATTTACTTAAACTTAATGTCTTAAATATTTGAGCTTTTAGATAACTTGTGGCCTTGGGCTTTTATTACTTTAAATGGGTCGAGCCTATATAGCTCGTTTCTTAAATGAGCTAAATCAAATAACTTAAAAATATAAAATTTGGGACTTTATAAACGTACTTTTGGTCAAGAAGTAGAGACTACTGAAGATATATTAGCTCCATGTAAATTTAGTAGGATCATTCGACCTCTTAGAAGGTAAAAATTCACGAATACTGATAACGTATTATTAATCGATGATGATTAACCTACTACTTATGCAGATGTAAAGTCAAGTGTTAGCTAAAAGAGAGAGGAAGAGACCACGATATCTAAAATGAACTCAATGTAGTATTCAATGTTTGGATCTTGGTTGACCAGCTAATGGGATAACACTCACTGATTATAAATGAGTTACAAAGAAAAGGTTGACAAGGATGGAAACATCCATAAATTAATACCAAGGTTAGTAGCAAAAGTTTATAAACAAAGACAAGGAATTGACTTTGATGAAATTTTTAACTAGGAGCCATGCTAAAGCTCATTCGAATTTTACTTGTAATAGCTGCATATCATGACTATAAAATGTGGCAAATGGATGTCCAAACTACATTCTTTAATGGGAACTTGTAAGAAGAAGTGTACATAACCCAACCCAAAGGTTTTGAATTCAAAGATGCTAACACGATATGCAAGCTTAATCATCACTATATGGATTGAAGCAAGTTTTTAAGAGCTAAAATCTTTGATTTGATGGGACAGTCAAAGGTTGATTTTATCAAAAATGGAGACAAACTGTGTGTTTACAAGAAGGTAGTAGGAGCACTGTCGTATTTTTAATATTATATGTAAATAACATATTATAGGAAATGAGATCCCAATGTTTTAATTGTTGAAATTATGGTTGTCAAAAATTTACTCCATGAAAGATACGGAAAAAGTAACTTGATCTATAGAGATAGATCTAAAAGAATTATTAACCTATCCCAATCTATATAGATAAAATCTGAAGAAGATTTTATATAAAGAAAATGAACTGAAAGTTCATTGATACTGATGCTAATGTCCAGTTGAACTAAGATGATAGCAAATCTCTATCAAGATACACTTTACTCGTAATAATTCAGCAATTGATTGGAAAATTTCCAAACATGAACAATCGTTGATTCAATAGTAGAAGCCTAGTACACTATTGGTTCAAAAACAGCAATGAGTTGTTGTCTGGATCAAGTTCTTTAATGAGCTTGGAGTAGTTTCTAACCTTATGGATCACATATACTGTATTGCGATAACAATTAAGTCATTGTGTTGTGATTATGAGATACAAATTACATGTGGTTGAATCTTAAATTATCCACGATCGTACGTAATAACGATATACGGATATCGTTATTGCGGGTAGGTCATCACATTTTGCATATCTTACTTGTGAGGTAAGGAGTTGATCTTACAAGTTAAAGTGTGGTGACACTTAAATAAACATGTGAATTTTTTGTTATAGAATAAACCATTGGAGATCCATCGAAAAGATTCCACATGGATAAATATCTAAGTGTTAATAGTTAATTTTTAATGTTCGATAATGAAATTTTTAGCAATCGAAAAAGTTTTATATTTTAAAAGAAAAAGTTTTTCACAAATTCTTGAAAGGAAGAAATTTGTATTGGTTCAAATTTCTCCAATTTATGTGCTTTAAGTTGGTCACGTAATTAAGTATGTTCACTTAGTCTAGACTATGTTAATTATGTTTTACTTCATTTTGCGACAAATTATACTAAATGTTTAAGCTTTGTTTTATTGCCCAATTGTATTAGAGTTAGTAGTTACATAAGTTGTTATTTAGTTCAAACTTCTAGTTTTTATTGATTATTCAATATCAATAGATTAAATATTCAACTATTGTAATTGTGAGCATTAGTTTTCCAATATTAGGCTCTGATCAAAATTCAAATTATTTTGTGGATAAAGGCCTCAAGAAAAAAAAATCCAATTGGATATATAGGGATCAAGATGAAGCAGTTAGAACGTTTTAGCTTATCTCTTTTTTTTTTTCTTTCTTTCTTTTTCTTTTTCTTTCTTTTTTTTTTTTTTTTTTTTTTTTTTTTTTTTTTTTTTTTTTTTTTTTTTTTTTTTTTTTTTTTTTTTTTGATAAGCCTTAATCACTTTCTCAAGAGACCTCAAACAATGATAGAGTCCTAATTATTAGAAATTTAGAGAGGTTAGTGATTGATTTAATTCCAAATTCTATGACTTCTAATTGAATTGAAATTCATCTAAATCAAGTTCATCTAAATCAAGAAGGAATTTCAGTCATTTAATACTCCATCATAACCAAACACAAGCACATGCTCGACTATAAATGAAAGAAATGGGAAGAAATATATTTGAGAATAGGGAGGAAAGGTATTGCATGAAATTTCTAAAGTTGGTGCTTTGAAGTACACATGCAGGGTGCTCAAACCCTAAGACATATTTCAAAGGAAATAGACTTAAACCCCATTTTATTTCACTTCATGTTATATTTTAGCCTGTCTAAATGTGATTATATATTATATATGGCTCCTTATGGGGATTTAAATATGAGTTGGTGGTGTAGTAGTGCACCAGAAATGTAAAGTTGGTGGCATAGTAGTACACCAAATATTAGTATGTTGCCTGATCATTGTTATGCTTGCTTATTAAAAGTTTGAATGACATGAATATATGCTTAAAGTATGATATGTTTGGATTTAATGCATATATGAGTTTATTGAGTATTTTTATGAAACACTCAACCCTTAACAATTTCAGATTAAGGAAATCAATGGCCGTGTGGATGAGAACAGTGGTGCTTTGATGTGAACTCGAATAATTTTTTAAATTTTGGAATATTTTAAGTTAGTATTTCTTGAAAGTTTGAAGACTGAATTGGTTGACGAAAATTGTTTCATGATGGATAGAATATTGTGGTTTATTTAGTTTATTTGAGTTGTAACACCAGTGTTTAAATATTTTCAGTTTCTGTCCCTAAGCTCAAAAATTCACGTCGACTAAAATATTTGGAATTTTGAGGTGATTCTAGTTGGAGAAAGTATCCATATGAGTTATCTATCTCTCGGATTTAGAATCGTGAATTTTGATTGTGTAAAACTCAAGTAATGAACGTTTTCCCTAGGGTTGTCAGAATGTACCCGAGAACAAATAGATTCAGTTTTGAAAACAATTTTGACACTCTATTGATTGAATTTGCATTCAAAATTTCAACTTTAATTTCCCCATGTGTAAGTTGCCTACAGTTTAATTGTTGTAAATTTTGGATTTCATTTAGTGGCCTAACGGATTTTTCTTTCATAAGAATGTACAAGCTAAAAATTCAAAGTTTCCGAAAGAAAATTTCTTCGGTTTTGCAATGGATTCTCTGAAACCTTAATGCTTGTAGTCTAAGTTAATTTTTGCATTTTTATGAAAAATCTTGATATAATTTTGCAAATTTTAGATCTTAGTAAATTCACAAGTCCCTAAAACTCACAGCATTACAAAATTGGTCTTTCGACTTGAGGTCATCATAGTGCACTATATGGGGACAATCTTGCTTTAGGTGATATTAGATGTTGCTCTGTTAAGAGGCGCTAATACGATATCATTTGGATATGTTTAGAATGATATGAAGGTTATGAATGGTCAATAGATGACACTTTCAGATAGTAAGAGATTATGACATACTTTTCATTTAGTTAAGTTGATAACGAAATCTTTGACCAAAGTATACTTATAAGTCATAAAGAGATTTCGACATACATTTATTTAAAATTGGAATGAAAGATATGATCGATAATCGAGAGATCAAACCATATTGACGAAAGATATTTTTTTTTTGCTGTTGTATTCCATTCAATCTGATTATATGTATTTGTAGTTGATACAAATGCAAAGTAAGATTACAATAAACTTTAAATTACAACAACTCAAGCCTTTCTGTGGATTCATTTTATCTTTCAACTGTGATTGTAACCCTTGTAATGTCGTCGAGCCAGAATCTTCATCAAAGGATAATGACACATCCTTAACGGAGACAAAATATGATTATTAAATGCATATTCTCTAATAGCTTAAGAATTACGATGAGGTAATTCAACTAAATGATTTTTTGGGTCGAACTTCTTTGTCATTAGAGAATAAAAACACACAAAAATAGAGAAATATATAGGTATTGGTACTACTGTATATATAAAATAGAAGAGATCAAGGAGCAGCAGTTTGGGTCAACTCCATTTGGCTACCTTCATGAGATTGAGTTAACTCAGTTTGAAGTGAATCATTCTGAACATTCTTGTTGTTCGTGTTGTGTTTCATCTCGCCATAGAAGTAGGAAATAAAACCCCAAAGCGATAGGAAAAGAGAGACGCCCTTTTCTGCTTGAAACTTTTCATGGTAGAAAATAACCGCTAATACTTCTGTGACGGGAAGTAGAACTGTTATGATGATGGCTGATAGAAGAGAGGAAGAGTAGAAAATGACTCCAATTGCACCCAAGAAGAAACATTGCCAAACAATTGCACTCCAAACCACTACCAAATAATATTTTCCTTCTCCAAGTTCATACTCTTTTGCCTCCCTCGAGATGGCCTACACAACACGTTACAAATACATACTTGTAAGTGTTAATAATATGTGTCAATAATTCAAACATAGCAGGTGCAGCAAATTAAATTAAAAGATTTTGACAGACACCAACTTGAGAATATTCATCATTTGAATTATAGTCGTTTGAACAGTAAATTTTCTCGATCACACAACCGGGTTCCAAATCCTTCCTGATAGAATCTGGTGGCTAATTTTGAAATGAACCGTGTTATATAAAATTATGGATGCTATGAATACAAATTGGTGGCACTAGAGGCCAATCAAAATTTGCATCACTCATCTAGAATGGGTTAACCATCTCAAAATTGAGGCTTGATAGAGCTTCCTCTTTGGTAGAAAAATTGAAAAAAGAGAGAAGAGAACTTATTTTTGCACATCTTTAACATATGTTAACTATAGGAAAAACCAGGAAGCAAAGCTAAAATAATCCAGCCTAGTGGCTATAAGGGAATTCAGGTTAGAAAAATTCTACTCAAACAAAGTCAAGGTTGTAAGCCACTAGTCCGAGAGTTCTGGAGAGAAGAGAAAGCTTCAGGCCATTGCTGGTTCAGATGATCCAACTAAGGTAGCTAAGAAAGCTAAACTTGGTAGCCAGGAAAGGACAACAAAGGGAAGTGAAACATGGAAAAAGGAATTCCTGCTTAGGAAGCCCAGAAGTTTAGGATTCCTTGTTTTCATCTTCTGGTGCATATAGGAGATGAGAGAGCCCTTTCGCACTTTCTGCCCGCTCACGTCGCCCTTGATTTGATAAATTACACGCATAGTTCAAACCTGTGCTATAGTTGCACTTTTATCTACAACCTTTTTTGTTTCTTTTTTCATGACATCACGATCCTCAACATTTCGTGATATATCTTTAGGAAGTGTTTACTTTTTGATCCAAAAATCCACGAGTTAAAACGTAAAATCGTGGTAGGTGTTGAATAAGGATGGATGATAATCGAATGAATTATTATTATTATTATTTTAATGAAATTCATCCTTAGTGGTAGCAAAGAGAGAGAAAATGATTTTGGAACATGAATTATAGGCACCTTGAAATATACTATTGGAACTGTGTTGCAATTTTAGATAGTTGAGGAGATTAATGTTAAAAAAAGAGAGGAGTAAAAGTGCAAATGAAGTCTGACTCATTCAACTTATCGTGAAATTTATGGGCCAAGATCCGGCATTCGTGCCGTCTTAAGATTTGTATCTTTTTTAAAAACGTTTCATTGAATGGGATTGATTCAAATTATATGAAATGATGAGCATATGACTTTGGCTTCCCAGTTTTCTCGATAGCTGGGTCAAACTGACAACGTTATATATCATTATTTATTTTTAATTTGTTGCCTTATGCAGTATTCTTCGATTCAAAATGTTGATAGCTCATCACATCAACTTAGAATAGTCAACAACAAGATGTCACACACGGAATATACTACAAATGAGATTATATTTGGAATGATGTCTTGTTATTAGACATTTGAAAATGATGTATATCAAGATTTCAGTGACGAATAGCTAATATGAGAGCCAAGAGCCGAAAGAAAAAGGCAAATGAAGAATA